TCAGCTACTTGGGAGGCTGAGGCAGGAGAATTGCTTGAACCCGGGAGGCGGAGGTTGCAGTGAGCTGAGGTAGTGCCACTGCACTCCAGCCTGGTGCCTGGTGACGGAGTTAGACTCTGTCTCAAAAAAAAAAAGAAAAGAAAAGAAAAGAAAAGAAAAGAAAAAAGTATAGTATTTTCAATAATTGGATCTAAGGCATGCTTTACTGCTATTTATTGAGAAGAATTCTTTTTCTTCTTTTTTTTGCTATACTCTTGTAAAAGGTTGCTTAAACATTAGATCACATATATCCATTATTTGAAACAGGTTGTGGCAAGGCCAAACAAAGTGTTTTACTACTAGCAAATGGAAAATTCGACTTACCTTATTACATAAAGTATTGGGAAGAATGGTCTCTGCTCTCTAAGCCAAGAGATGAAAGTTATTATTCTGGCAGATTCTGGTGTATCAAGTTCTGGAAGGTCTGTCTGTTAATCAAAACCAACAATAATCAAATTAATTATATATCTAATATATGGTTCATGGTACTTTTCAAATTTTAATTTTTTTAATTACATTTTTTTTGTTTTCTTTTTTGAGACAAGGTCTCTGTCGCCAGGCTGGAGTGCAGTGGCCCAATCATGGCTCACTGCAGTCTCAATCTCCTGATTCTGGTGATCCTCCCACCTCAGCCTCCTGTGTAGCTGGGACTATAGATGTGCACACCATGCCTGGCTATTGTAATTCTTATAGAGATAAGGTTTCACCTGTTGCCCAGGCTGGTTTCAAACTCCTAGACTCAGGCAATATACCTGCCTCAGCCTCCCAAAGTGCTGGGATTACAGATGTAAGCCATTGTGCCCAGCCTACTTAAATTTATCTTATTTTTTTGAGACAGGGTCTTCCTATGTTGCCCAGGCTGAAGTGCACTGGTGCAATCATGGCTCACTATAACCTCCACTGCCTTCCAAGGCTCAAGTGATTCTCTCACCTCAGCCCCCCAACCTCCAGTAGCTGGAATAAGAGGTGTGCCCCACCTGCCAGCTAATTTGTGTATTTTTAGTAGAGATAAGGATCTCACCAGGTTGCTCAGGCTGGTCTAAAATTCCTGGGCTCAAACAATCTGCCCACCTTGGTCTCCCAAAGTGCTGGGATAACAGGTGTGAGCCCCCATACTTGGCCTTAAATTTTAACATGTATAGCAATCACCTGATAATCTTGTTGAACTACAGATAAAGATATAGGAGGTCTGGGGCAAGGGTGTGGTCCTAAGATTTTGCTTTCCTAAAAAATTCCCACAGTCATGCCAATGCAACTTGACTTGGGACTACAATTTTCTTTTTTTTTTTTTGAGACAGAGTTTCTCTCTTGTTACCCAGGCTGGAGTGCAATGGTGCGATCTCGGCTCACTGCAACCTCCGCCTCCCAAGTTCAAGCAATTCTCCTGCCTCAGCCTCCTGAGTAGCTGGGACTACAGATGTGCGCCACCATGCCCAGCTAATTTTTGTATTTTTTTTAGTAGAGACAGGGTTTCACCATGTTGACCAGGATGGTCTCGATCAATTGACCTCGTGATCCACCCACCTCAGCCTCCCAAAGTGCTGGGATTACAGGCGTGAGCCACCGCGCCCGGCGGGACTACAATTTTCTACAAATAATCCAGAACAGGAGTAGGCAAACTTCTTAAAGACCCACATGGTAAATACCTTAGGCTTGTAGGTCATTTGGTCTGTGCTGCAGCTACTCAATTTGCCATTGTTACACCAAAGTAGCCATAAACAATATATAAGTGAATGGGCATGGATGTTCCAATGAAACTTTATTTTTTTTTTTGAGACAGAGTTTTGCTCTTGTTGCTCTGGTAGGAATGCAATGGCGTGATCTCGGTTCACTGCAACCTCCACCTCCCGAGTTCACGTGCAAGAGCCACCGCACCCGGCCCCAAAGAAACCAAATTTACAAAAACAAGTAGCAGGTACCCCTTGGGCATAGTTTGCTAAGCCCTAATCTAGAAAACCCTGTTAGTTCCTCTCTTCATTTTAGCATGACATCCAGAATTAATTGATTGATTCAGGTATTACTAAAAATATAACCATTTCTTATTTACTCATTACTTAAAACAGTCATCCAGTCCAGTAGTTTTGTTCCAGGCCTGAAATCCACTGCATATCCTAGCTATAATCCTGATATAGCTGTCTTTTATTTTTTATTTTTTGAGACAGGTTCTTGCTCTTTTGTCCAGGCTGGAGTGCAGCGACGCAATCACTGCTCCTTCTGCCTCAACCTCCCTGGCCTTAGCAATCTTCCCACCTCAGCCTCCTGAGTCGCTAAGACCACAGTTGTGTGCCACCATGCCCAGCTACTTTAAAAATTTTTTGTAGTTATGGGGTCTCACTATGTTGCTCAGGGTGGTTTCAAACTCCAGAGCTTGGGTAATCCTCTCATCTCAGCTTCCCAAAGTGCTGGGATTACAAGTATGAGCCACCATGCCTGGCATATCTTTTTTCTTTCTTTTTTTTTTTTTTTTTTTAAGACGTAGTCTTGCTCTGTCACCAGGCTGGAGTGCAGTGGTGTGAATGCAACCTCTGCCTCCCACGTTCAAGTGATTCTCCTGCCTTAGCCTCCCGAGTAGCTGAGCCTACAGGCTTTTGTCACCACACCCAGCTAATTTTTGTATTTTTAGTAGAGACAGGTTTTCACCATATTGGCCAGGATGGTCTGAATCTTTTGACCTGGTAATCAACCCACCTCAGCCCCCCAAGGTGCTGGGATTACACTGTGAGCCACCACACCCAGCCTATCTGTCGTTTAAATACATAAATTCCCTAGTGATTCTATGAATGGAATCATAGAATCCATTAATATAAAAACCTATCAATAAAAATGTTTGGTATAATTTTGTTATTGTTTTCTGATATCAAAATAGTGGCTATTCATGTTTTTGTGACCTTTGAAATGCCTTTTATAATCACTATAAAAAAAGAGACTTACCATAGGCTGTGGAATTGATGCATAGTTTTGAACTCCTAGAACTTGACTGAGAAAACTCTGTGCACAATTTTTTCCAACCCAAAGCATGAGTACCTAAGGACAAGAATAAAATTATTTTGAGATGTACCATACATAAAGGTAAGTCTGTTGACTGAGTATATTTTATTTTTATTTTATATATATACTTGTGAGACAGGGTCTCACTCTGTCGTGCAGGCTGAAGTACAGTGGTACAGTCTTGGTTCACTGCAACCTCTGCCTCCTGTGTTCAAACAATTTCCCACTTCAGCCTCCCGAGTAGCTGGGATTACAGGTGTATAATCCCATGCTCAGATAATTTTTGTATTTTTAGTAGAGATGGGGTTTCACCATGTTGGCCAGGCTAGTCTTGAACTCCTCACCTCAAGTGATCCATCTGCCTTGGCCTCCCACAGTGCTGGGATTACAGGCATGAGCCACCATGCCCAGCCTGACTGAGTATATTTTAAAATATCAAAAAAGCTAAGTATATTTAGTGAGATTGTACAGCCTTTAATTGAATTAATAATAATTAATATTTACCATGATAAGACATTTTATGCTTGGCATGAAACAAGGAGGATATGGAGGGGGAAGGTGACAAATATACTGTCATCAATCACTGAACAATGGGGATATATGCTGAGAAATGTGTTGTTATGTGATTTAATTTTGTGAACATCATACTGTATTTACATAAGCCTCAATGGTAATAGCCTACTGCATACCTTGGCCATATGGTATAGCTTACTGCTCCTAGGCTACAAACCTCTAGAGCATGTTACTGTACTGAACACTGTAGGCAACTATAACACAATAGTAAGTGTGTATTTAAAAATAGGAAAAGTATAGTAAAAATATGGTAGAAGAGATAAACAGATATTTGTATAGGACACTTACTATGAATGGAGCCCACAAGACTGAAAGTTGCTCTGGGTGAGTCAGTGAGTGGTGAGTGAATATAAAGGCCTAGGACATTACCGCATACTGCTATAAACTTTATAAATACTGCATTTTTAGGCCATACTATCTATCTATCTATGTATATAAATTTATTTCTTAAGGTTAATTTTCAGTAATTAACCTTAGCTTACTATAACTTTTATAAACTTTTTAATTTTTTTCTTTTCTTTTTTTTTTTGAGACGAGTTTCACTCTTGTTGCCCAGGTTGGAGTGCAATGGTGTGACCTCACTTAGCTCACTGCAACCTCTGCCTCCCGGATTCAAGTGATTCTCCTGCCTCAGCCTCCAGAGTAGCTGGGATTACAGGTGTGTGCTACCATGTCCGAATAATTCTGTATTTTTAGTAGAGACAGGTTTCACCATGTTGGTCAGGCTGGTCTCGAACTCTCGACCGCAGGTGAACCACTGGCCTCGGCCTCCCAAACTGCTGAGATTACAGGCATGAGCCACTGCACCCGGCCTCTTTTAATTTTTTTTTTTTTAGAAGGGCCTTGTTCTGCTGCCCAGGCTGGAGTACAGTGGTATTATCTCGGCTCAGTGCAACCTCAACCTCCTGGGCTCAGGTGATCTTCCCACCTCAGCCTCCCAAGTAGCTGGTACTACAGGTACACATCACTAGGCCTGGCTGATTTTTGTATTTTGAGAAGAGACGGGTTTCGCCATGTTGCCCAGGCTGTTCTTGAATTCCTAGGCTCAAGCAGTCCACTCTCCTTGCCCTCCCAAAATGTTGGGATTACAGGCATGAGCCACTGGGCCCAGCCAAAAACTTTTTTTTTTTTTTTTTGAGAATAGGTCTCATTCTGTTGCCCAGGCTCCAGTGCAGTGTCATGACCTCAGCTTACTGCAGCCTCAGCCTCCCCAGTTCAAGTGATTCTCTCACCTCAGCTTTCTGAGTAGCTGGGACTACAGGCACGAGCCACCACGCCTGGCTAATATATGTATTTTGAATACAGACAGGGTTTCACCATGTTACCCAGGCTGGTCTCTAACTCCTGACCTCAAGCAATCCACCTGCCTTGGCCTCCCAAAGTGCTGGAATTACAGGCATGAGCCACCATGCCCAGCCAACTTCTTTTAATTTTTTGACTCTCTTGTAATAACACTTAGCTTAAAACACACATTGTACAGCTATACAAAAATATTCTTTCTTTATATCCTTATTCTGTAAACTTTTCCCTATTTTTAAAATTTTTTTATTTTTTACTTTTTAAATTTTTTGTTAAATACTGAAACACAAACGCACGTTAGCCTAGGCCTCCACAGCGTCAAGATCATCAATCTCACTGGCTTCCACCTCCCCATCTTGTCTCATTGGAAAATCTTCAGGGGCAATAACATGCACAAAGCTGTCATCTCCTCAGATTACAATATCTTCTTCTAGAATACTTCTAAAAGACCTGCCTGAGGCTGTTAACTTTTTTTAAAAATTACGTAGGAGTACAGCTCTAAAACAATAATTTTAAAAATTGCATAGTAAATACTCTGTGATAGGAATTCTTCAGCTCCATCATAAATCTTATGGGATCACCATCATATAAGCGATGACTTACACATCATTAATCAGTGTATGACTCTACATAGGTTAACATATGAAATCTGTTCAGGAAGACAGATACTAAAGGAAATTAAACCAAATGCTAAATTAAAACAGTACAGTAGTTTGCAGTGAGGGTCAGGATAAGTCAAACTACTTACAGAGCCTGCATCCATGAGGAAAGCTCCATCTCTGCTCAGCTTCTCTACTGAAAGCTGAAGAATGGGGGGCTGAGGTATGGTTCTATCATTGATGTTGAGTGCTCCCTGAGGAATTAAGTAAATGAGTAAAGGTATTAATTATAGGAAATAAGGAGTCACAATTAAACAACAACAAAAAATTCAATGAATGTTTCCTCTAAGAGTTTGGGCCTTGCTTAGGTAAATCACAATTATTCATATTTAAGCATAAAGAAGATGACGATAGTTACAGTTAGATTGTTATCACTTATCTACTAAACAAGCAATTGTGACTCCCAATAAAGCCAAATTAACATCTGATCTTGTTTTATTTTTCTTTTGAGATGGAGTTTTGCTCTTGTTGGCCCAGATCTCGGCTCACTGCAACCTCCACCTCCCGGGTTCAAGGGATTCTCCTGCCTCAGTCTCCTGAGTAGCTAGGATTACAGGTATGTGCCATCATGCCTGGCTATTTTTTTGTATTTTTAGTAGAGAAGGGGTTTCACCATGTTGGCCAGGCTGGTCTTGAACTCCTGAATTCAGGTGATCCACCTGCCTAGGCCTCCTAAAGTGCTGGGATTACAGGCATGATCCACCATGCCTGGCCATTAACTTCCGATCCTAACCTTTGTTTTAAAAAAGAATGCAATAGGCTAGGCATGGTGGCTCATGCTTATAATCCCAGCACTTTGGGAGGCCAAGGCGAGTGGATCACTTGAATCCAGGAGGCAGAGGTTTCAGTGAGCTGAGATTGTGCCATTGCACTCTAGCCTGGGCAATGTGAGCAAAACTCCGTCTCAAAAAAATAAAAAAAAAAAGTTACCTCAAATTTCACAGGCAATTTTCCTTTATATTTGCAAGGTATCTTAAATTCTTTTTTTTTTTTTTGAGATGGAGTCTTGCTCTGTCGTCACTGAGGCTGGCTCGATCTTGGCTCAGTGCAACCTCCAACTCCTGGGTCCCAGTGATTTTCCTGCCTCAGCCTCCCAAGTAGCTGGGATTACAGGTGTGCATCACCATGCCTAGCTAATTTTTGTATTTTTAGTAGAGATGGGGTTTTGCCATGTTGGCCAGGCTGGTCTCTAACTCAGCCTCAGGTGATCCACCTGCCTCAGCCTCCCACAGTGCTGGGATTACAGGCATGAGCCACCTCACCCATCCTATATCTTAAATTGTTTACATTTTGAAAGGTTTTTAACCAGAACATTACTTCCAAAATATGTATCTTAACTTGATCACAGTTTTAGATGGATTTTGATTTAACATTTTCTTTTTTTTTTTTTTTTTTTTGAGACGGAGTTTCACTCATGTTACCCAGGCTGGAGTGCAATGGCGCGATCTCGGCTCACCGCAACCTCCGCCTCCTGGGTTTTAGGCAATTCTCCTGCCTCAGCCTCCTGAGTAGCTGGGATTACAGGCACGCGCCACCATGCCCAGCTAATTTTTTGTACTTTTAGTAGAGACGGGGTTTCACCATGTTGACCAGGATGGTCTCGATCTCTTGACCTCGTGATCCACCCGCCTCGGCCTCCCAAAGTACTGGGATTACAGGCTTGAGCCACCGCGCCCGGCTGATTTAACATTTTCATTCTTGTGACTTTAATTCTGGTAAATTTCTACCAAAGGAAAACAATGTTGCAACTTAGATAAATATTTTTTCTTTAATTCAAGGACACTGTTAAATTGAACTGGGTGTTCAGATGTAACTTCACTCTCAGATCTAGATGTACTTTTGTTCCAGTCTGGAATGATTTCTATAACAAAAAACCCCTATTCTCCACAGAAAAGATATTTTAAGAATACACTGAAAACTTTTTTTTTTTTTTTAATATACTTTAAGTTCTGGAATATATGTGCAGAACATGCAGGTTTGTTACATAGGTATACATGTGCCACGGTGGTTTGCTGCACCCATTCACCTGTCATCTGGGTTTTAAGCCCCGCATGCATTAGGTATTTGTGCTAATGCTCTCCCTCCGCTTGCCCCTCAACCCCTGACAGATGCCAGTGTATGTGATGTTCCCTTCTTTGGGTCCATGTGTTCTCACTGTTCAACTCCTGCTTGTGAGTGAGAACATTCAGTGTTTGGTTTTTTGTTCCTAAAATATGGAACACTTCACAAATGTGTATGTCATCCTTGCACAGGGACCATGCTAATCTTCTCTGTATTGTTCCAATTTTAGTATATGTGCTGCCAAAGCGAGCACAAATATACCCAGAACTTTTAAAATGTCAGTTGTTAAAAGATCGATTTGTTTGAATAAATAAATAAGTTGCTCTGGTCAATTTGACAGTCTTCCCATTTCTTAGAATCTGCTCTACAGATGGTATTTTAGGAGACTTACCGGCACTATTTTTAGGAGCTTCCCTATACTAAAATTTCTTTACTTAGTCTTAACAAAAAAAGCAAAAACAAAAGATAAAGCCTTAAATAATAAACAAACCCTTCCTCATTTCTGTACTTGACTATGATTAGGCTTACTAATCTTCAAGTAAAAGCCACAAAAAAGCAATCCATCTTACCTCATCTGAGAGATTGTCAACTCTATACAAACTGGGATGAGTTGTGAGCATAAGGTAAACCAAGGGCTGATTTTTCACTTGACACATTGCAAAAATGCGTTCATCTAGACGTGCATTTGTCCCAGTCTGGAATGATTTCTGTAACAGAAAATCCCCATTCCCCGCAAAAAAACTATATTTTAAAAATACATTGAGAACTTTTAAAATGCCAGTTGTTAAAAGAATATTATTTTTAAGTATCTTTTTTTAAGAAGTCACACACATCTATTAAAATGTAGCTACAGCCCCACCTAAAAATCTTGAGAAATTAACCAACTGACCATGGCAAAGTTATCTGATCTCCCTGTTGTCTGTTTCTTAGTTGATAAAATAGATCTAAACACTTTATCTACCATGTAATGATAGTGATGTAACAATCCAAGCAACACCATAGGAAGGATGAAGTTATACTGCAGATGACAAAGTAAAGGCATATATGAACGACCAAAAAGATATTTATTAAGTCAGTGGCCTTTTGGCACCAGGGACTGGTTTTGTGGAAGTCAATTTTTCCACAGACTAAGGCGGACATGGCAGAGGATGATTTTGGAATGAAACTGTTCCACCTGATATCATCAGGCATTAGATTCTCATAAGGAGTGTGCAACTCAGATTTCTCGAATGTGCAGTTCACAATGTGATTGGCACCCCTATGAGAATCTAATGCTGCTGCTTATTTGCCAGGAGGCAGAGCTCAAGCAGTAAAATTCCCTCGCCCACCAGTCACCTCCTGTTGTGGGGCTCGGTTCCTAACAAGCCACACACTGGTACTGGTCTGTGGCCCGGGGGTAGTGCAGTGAGAACCCGGCACTAAGAGTTCTATAAATGCTGGATGATGATTAATGGCAGCTGTCATTGACCCACCATATAAACAATATAACAAAGAATACTAATTAACAAGAAAAAATAATAGTACTACAAATGAGGACAGCTTCTTAGTAAAATTTGTTAATAAGTAAATATGATATTTAACTTATTATTTTCTTTACATAGATAAAAATGCAGAAGAATAAAGTTATGGGTAAGATTTTAAGTATTCCAATTGATGGAAAGGAGGTAGAGAGAAAAGAATAATGAAATTATGTATTAAAACAAGTACACTGACTATATATAAAGGAAGATTATAAAAGCTCTTAAGATTTTAATGTTAGAAGGAGAGTTCCATCTATTCATTTAAAATATATTTCCTGAGGGTCTATTATATACTAGGAACTGTTCTAACTGTTAGGACAAAAAAGTGAATGAAAAAAATAAAAATCCTTGTCCTCATGGAACTTACATCCTATTAAGGAAAGAATAAAAAATAAGCAAAAACATATGTGGTATGTCAATGATAAACGCCACAGGAAGAATACAGGAGGTAAGAGTGATTAAGGGTGTCAGAATGATGTGGGATGGGGTGAGATTAGAGTGTTGCATATTAAATGAGGAAGATTGGAGAATGTGGGCTTTAGAAAAAAGCATTTCAAGAAAGGCCTGAAGGAGAAAGAAGAGCTCAGATTTTTAAATGTTAAAATTTAAATACTTATGTAATCTGTGTACTTATATTCAGGAATTGAAATAGATAATTTGAGTTAAAGAAGTGAGAACTAGAGGCTGGGCGCAGTGGCTCAGGCCTGTAATCCCAGCCAAAGGGCGTGGATCACAATGTCAGGAGTTCCAGACCAGCCTGGCCAACACAGTGAAACCCCTGTCTCTACTAAAAATACAAAAAATTAGCCATTCGTGGTGGCGGGTATATCTAAAGAAGATTAAGGGCCAGGTGCGGTGGCTAAAGGCTGTAATCCCCACACTTTTGAGGCTGAGGCGGATGGATCACCTGAGGTTGGGTGTTCAAAACCAGCCTGACCAATATGGTGAAACCTGTCTCTAATGAAAATACAAAAATTAGCCGGGCTGTGGTGGTGCATGCCTATAATCCCGGCTACTTAGAAGGCTGAGTGGGGAGAATTGCCTGAACCCAGGAGGCAGAGGTTGCAATGAGCTGAAATCTTGTCACTGCACTCCAGCCTGGGCAACGGAGGGAGACCCTGTCTCAAAAAAGAAGATTAAGAAGTGTAATGTTAGGCCGGGCGCGGTGGCTCAAGCCTGTAATCCCAGCGCTGTGGGAGGCCGAGGCGGGTGGATCACGAGGTCAAGAGATCAGATCGAGACCATCCTGGTCAACATGGTGAAACCCCGTCTCTACTAAAAATACAAAAAATTAGCTGGGCATGGTGGC